TAGAACTTGTACATAGCTAAATGTAACAATTTTAGTTCCTTAAGTCAAGAAATTTTAATTGACTTTTGAACTATTATTATGTTAAAATAACAATGAGAATGACTAAGTTCCAAACATAAAATGTAACGAGAGAATAAGCTCTAATTTAAATAACAAATTCTTCTGCTACTTAGAATAAAACATGAAGATTCAACATGTAAATTATTAGGTACTTTGCTCCAAAATGTGGATATGTGTATTATAGTACTTTATCTGTATTATATCTGCACAAATGAATTATTTTTATCCCATAGAATTACCTCAATGTTAAAGTTTATATATATATGCGTACACACACACACACACACACACACACACATAGAAGTGCTGCTGGTATATCAGTTTAAGAATCAGAATTCGTATCAAACTTGTATAGCTTTAAAAGAATGAATAAGAGTCTCAAAACACCTATGCTACTTGGCTTTCTGTCTCTGGGTTATTAAATGATATTGAAACAATTATGCCATGACTCCTGCTATATAAAAGCTATAATAGCCTTTATCTCATTATTATTTAAATGTTAAATGCTCCATTATAGGGGTAAATTGGGTTTAAAATAGAATGTTTCAAGCAGGAGAGCAAAAAATATAAGGTTAAACACAGAGAGGAACCCCAGCTTCAATTTGTGGTATAAAGCTTGCTAGGGCATGGATTGATCTTTTGATATACTAAGAAGGCAAACCCTCTGACATGCCCTACTGAGAATAAATACACTGATCTGGAACAAAAATGTGAAACAGCTGTTAAGTGACAGAAGAAATGTGCATTGGACCACCAGCCTGTCATAAATATTGCACTCTTAATCAGAAAGCGTGTCTTTTCATTTCCTTTTCAGTAATCTTTGCATTGTACTTATCTGTGCAGAATGCTTCTCCTAACAGGTGCAATAGTGTTTACAAATTTAAAACCTTATTTAAATGAAGCTTACAACTAGAAATGTTTCAATTAACAGGGCAATATTTTATGAGAAGGAATCATTCTAACATCTGGCAAATCCATAGATTGCTTTGCATTTGTAAAATTTAATTATTGGAAATTTAGAGCATAGGCACCAAGCAAAGCTGAAGATGAAAGGTCCTTTAAGCAATTTTATGGAATATATTTGTGTCCAGAGAAATTATAGGAAAAAATCACTGGTGGGAATGTGAATAGCTTGAAATATTGAGCATAGATATTATGAAATGTCATGTTTCATTAAAAAAAGAACTAATAATGTCCCATGTGTCCATAAAACGTGGCTTCTATGGCACTAGTTTATTTTTCTACAGTTCAATTTTTCCCTTTTATCATGATGCAATTGTTGAAAGTGAATATAATAGATCTATAATCAATCTTATTGGATAAGAAAACAATATTGACTAATTTTAACATTTGCATTATAATTACCCAAGCAATTTTAAATAGATAACTTCTTCAAAAACATGAATATAATCATAAAATTAGCTCACTCAGAAAACACAATTTTTAAAATGAAAGCAACTATAAAATTATCTACCTCTTTTACTCAAAATGAATGCAGAGATAATGAGCTCAGTTACTTTAGGGATCAGGCAGGCATTATAAGCGATACTGTCTTGTGAAACATGTGGCCCTTTAGGTTGATCATTAATTTCCCAATTTTTTTATAGAACAGGTGTTGAAGAAAATATTCTTAACTGCACTCTTGGACAAACAACAGGGCAGATTCTGATAAAGAACATGGCAATTTGGTGAGCAATGCCCATTTAGCTGTTTGTTTCCATGGAGAAAAAGAACCCAATGTTTCCAGAAATTCAATTTTTCAATAATGTTCAGAGCACACAATATATGTGTACTGGCTGGCTCTTGCCCCTGGGCTTCCAATTTGCAATCTTTAGTGTAATAGTTGAAAACATGGGCTTACTGTCAAACACATCTGAGGTCAGCTTCTGTCTTGGTCATTTATTATCTTTCTAACCTTGGATAAGCTACTTGACTTTAAATTCTATTTCATCCTCAGCATAAAAGGAGTTAACAATAAAAGCTAACTCATAGAGATGTTGTAAGTATTAAATGAGATAAAAGGTATAAAACACTTAGCATAGTAAGTACTCAGTAAGTAGCAGGTATTATTTTTGTTTTATTTTGCTTTTAATTAGATACAAATAAGGAAACAGAGGCCCAGAAACTAATGTAACTTCACCACTATTAATAATGTGCATGAATTTAAAAACTCAGGCCTCCTGATTCCTGATCCACCAAGCTATTTCCCTAAAAATTATATATAAAAATTATATTTTCAAATATAATTGCTATTTTATAAAAAAGCTCTAATTTCCTTATGTGCTTTAGTAACTGACATAGGATAAATATTTTTTACATCGTGGATAAAGCCTCTTTCAATATTTACAAGTCTTCTTAATAGCTGTATACAAGCATTTATTATAGGTTAACCCAGAAAGCAAAGGTTAATATCTGTTCCTTAGAGAGTTCACACAAAATTATCTCATCACAAGCATTCATATTTTGTAAGGGACAAATCTATTTTTAAAAATTCTCCCACTAAAGCAATATAAACAAAGTCATTTGTTATAAAGCATAGGAGACGCCCTTTTAATTACTTTTTTGGAGACAAATTTAACAGAAAATGATTTTGATGAGAGGAGTTAGATATTCTGGGTATAACTTGAAAAACTGATCCTTCAGACTAAGCCATTTCTATTAGATAGATTTAGCCTTGGGAATTTCCCAGTGACAGCAGTACCTTCTTAGAACTTCACTGGGTCCTGTTTCCGAAACTTTTCCCCATTGATTCTTCATATTCTCTAGCTGCTCCTCATCAAATTCTACCTCTTCAGCCTGACAAGATCATTTACCTCAACAATTAACAAACTCTTCCCTTCCCCTAACGTATTCTTTTCTAAAAGGTTGAGAGATTCTCCCACTACTATGTTGGACCTACAATCAGACAATAATAATTATGATGACAGTGTTAGGTAGATAGTGAGGGATTCTAGTTCTTCTAGGGATGAAAGTGTGAGCCATTGTGGTTCACCCTCACAAATGGGCTTTCAGAGAGGCTCATGGGAGATCCACATGTGTAGTTAAGACTCAGGTCATATAACTCCCAACTGTCCAATCAAAATGGTTCCATGTTGACGTCTGAACCACAGGGAGGTCCCTTTCTGGACACCATAAAACAAGACTCAGACCATAAGACCATAATCAAGCCTTTTTTTTTTCCATCTTTTGCTACAACAATGGGTCCAATGGTCATCTGTGGCATATGTATCTCACTCTGTAATCCTATCTTTCTCTCCTCAATAAACCTCATTTTCGTGCTTATCTTTCTTTGGTACGTCTGGTCATTCTTCATGCTTGAGCGGACAAAGAACTGACATTTCAGACTGCCAAACCTGACAACAGCTACAACTGGCGGGGGCGGGGGGGGCACACCTTGTACGCCCAATGTTAGACAAATCTTTTACATAGTCTCATTAAATCCTCACCATAGCTCTACAGATTCCATAAATATACCAAGGTATCTCATTTGTAAAATAATTCTGAAAGATGTCAAATAGTTTGTCTAGTAAGGGTCAGAGTCAAGACTTCAGTCCCATTCCCAAGGCTATGCTATTCTGTCTCTCTAAATTCTTGATTTAAAACTCAATCAAGATGAATTAGACACATGTTGAATAAAAGTTATAATATCTTATGAGTGCTACACAGAAACATTACTAAAATATTACTAAATGCTATTAAAATTTAAGATATCACATATCTGAAATTGAGCCTATGCAAATATAATTTATTAATAAACACTCCTAGTCAAGGACATCTACATTTGAAGAGCAAAGCAGGTTTTACTCTATTTTCCAGGCATTATTTTGTTAATGCAACCATTACCTCAAGCAGTCCAATCCAGATCCTTTCAAATAGCTCCAAATAATGCGTGAACAATTTGTAAAAGAAGGTAATATATTCTAACAGGTTTACATGTATAGACAGACAGTTTCCTGTGACATAATTCTGAGAAAGATTAAAAGGATTGAAGTCAACAGATAGATGAACACAGACTTAATTAAGGTGAATCACGCCTTCGTGATATTCTTTGGGAAAAAGGCTTCTGTCGTCCCAAAAAAGTAGTATCTTTTTTTAGGCAGGCAAACTGTTGAAAAACTTTGGGTAGCTAATCCACTGACTCACATTAATGTACAGAACATGAAATGCATTTTCCTTTGGGCAAGGAAAGGAGAATCTATTGCATATGTCAACTGTTTCTGTGAATACTGAAGATTACAATTATGTTTTGATGTTAATCCAACTACTGCAAATTTCTCGTTGCGACACACACTGTGAAAATGTGAGTGACAGTATAAATCTTTTTAAATTGAATTCAACACTATTGAAAAGAGCTGATGTTTTCAAATACTATTACAAAGCCTCTGAACAACAGGAATAACTCTCTAAATGAAGCCGCTTTCTATAGTGACCTATTTGATATGAAAGACTAATAGCCAGGATAGAATCAAATTCTGCACGTCTGCTATATTATGTGTGTGTTTTGCGTTTTTAGGAACAATCACCTCTAATGCCTTGATGTCCTCATAAGCAAACTGCACGGTGGGAACTCCAAGATGGTTGATGAAATAATCAGCATCACCTTGTATCTGTACAGAACTGACATTGGTTTCTGGGCACTGAGCTCTTCTGGTACAGTTGAAATTATTTTTCTGAAAAACATAATTTAAATTGTTAACGCTATGCTTCTCAGGTCATGCCTAAATCAGTGTTACTACAAATGTGATCTAGAGATCAGCAGCATCAAAGTCATCTAGGAGCTTGTTCAAAATGCAGACACTTAGGCTCCACCCTACCCTCCCCATGGGGACATATGGGGGTGGAGCCCAGGAATTTGTGTTGTAACACTCCTCTTTGATTCTGAGGCTCACTGAAGTGTGACTAGCACTAACCAGAATCAAGCTTTGCTTTTTGTTGTTGCTTCAGAAGTATTTTTATCATAGATTCATTTTGAACTCTAATTATTCATTAATTTGACAATTGGTAAGTCTCTAAAAGGGTTTAAGGTTTTTTTTTTTTTTCAATTTTCCCATAAATTTAAAGGGTGGCTTGGGTAGGATATAATTTCATTCTTCTTAAAATGTTTATCAAAAGCTAGAGAAGGATTTCTTTCCATTTCTTCTTAAAAGCATATTCCCAGATACCTTATGAGTATATGCCAAATACTACAATGGGCCATGGAGAACCACACAGCCAAGTGCAACCTCTAGGGAAATACAAGATAATAGACTACTATTTCCTAAACTAAGAATTGTCTAGCAGGCAAAATAAATGACAGCAGCTTTATAAAAATAAAATAAAATGAAAGAATTAAAAACAAGCAAACTAAAGATTTTTATAATTAATATTGATTAAAAATGTCTTCTTTAATAAATCTTCCCAAAATCTAGAATCCTTCTGAGATGCAGTTGCCTTAACTTTGAAACATGGAAGAATACCAATGTCCTAGGCAGTTATGAGGAAAGCGAGACAATGAGCATAAGAACATCACATCTAATATCAGGCATAAAGCTCAATACATGTTTGCCTTTGAATCAAGACATCGACTTATCAACCTGTCATGTTTTATGGCACGACATAATTTCAAAAATACTTTTAAATATAACCTAACAAAAGACTTGAGAATATGTATCTTAATATTGAGAAAATAAGTTATTCCAACTTTTTTCAAATACAGTGCTAGATTATTCAAACATATAATAATGTTTCAACATCTATCCAGTTTTCCTTGAGGACCTAATGGAAAGATCTTTGCAACCAAGTTAAAAATCAATTAAAATAGAAAGCCAGTATGAGTGTTTACAAACAAAGCAGGGTTTCAGTTTAATGTTATTTACTAACTATATTGGGTGATTAAGCACTTTGAAAATAGAAAGAAAAGAATCTTTTACTATACAGTCTAATCAGTAGCAACCTAAAGCTTTTTATGGTGACCCTCATTAATTTGCTGCTTTTCAAAGCCTAATTGTCTGAAAAGGGAGGTAAACCTTTTTCACTCCCTAATACATTCTTAGGGTTTAAGACTCCATGTTTTATGTCAGCTTGGGGCAGTTTAGGGAGGGTCTTGAATATTCCCATAGAAGAACTACTCTTAATACTAGATAATAATAAACAAAGAAAATATATTAGTTTAAAAATCCAAAAGTATTTTTGAGAGATCCCCAAAACTGGCACCTCTGAAGGTAATTATTTAGCCAGTGTAGGTTTCTTATTATTTGCTTGTTTGTTTGTTTTTCTAGTTGAATTTGAATGCTTTGGGCAGGCAGACATTCACTAAAATACAATCACTGGAGTCTCACACCCAGCCTGCGCCATTCATTCAATTTCACTGAATGGAGCCAGAGGCATTTGAATTTGGAAGCCTAGATTGTTGCATTATTTTAGGTCATTAATGAGAATTTGGTAGGATCTGGTTTTCACTTTTCCCAGACGCCTAGCAAATAAAATTAAAAATCACTTTTTAAGTGGTTTATTATCTCTTTACTAAAGTAACATCTATGTCTTTTCAAGACAGTATATGCATCCCACTCGACACCAGTGAAATTATAGGTTGGCTTTAATTTCATTTTGCATATATAACTCTCAATATCCAGCCCAACTCTCAACCATGCTCCTTAGACAGAAAGTTTTCTCAATAGAAGAATGGCATAGATCAAAAATTAATAATTCTATATTCCAAAATATGAGCATGTTATAGAATTATATTTTTAGATAAATGTATTTAAGTTTCATATTTGATATTTTCACTCAGTCATCATTAGTTATAAAATCATTCAGTTATACAATAGCTGCCTCTGACAAAAGGTGTTAACTTTTCATATAAACAAGTTCCTAAGATGGCACAAATGACCCCACTCCAATCAATCCTTGCAATCTTTTTTATTTATTTATTTAGAGATGGGATCTTACTATGTTGCCCAGCCTGGATTCAAGTGATCCTCCCGCCTCAGCTTCTCTATTAGCTGAGACTACAGGCATGAGCAACCACACCCAGCTACTTGCAATCTTTCTTATAACAGTTACACAGAGCATAGTTCTGGCTTAGCTTCAGCATTTTATTGGTATAGTACATTCTTTTTGAAGCCAATACCAATTTTCTTCTAGTCTCTCTGTTCTTGTCATGGCTGTTCTCATTACACAGCTTTAATATTTTCATTGCATTCCATTTCCATGGTTCCTTCTTGGTACATCATTGTTTACATGTTTTGTATTTTTCAGGCAAATCAAAAGGGAAATATCGCAGTTTTCAGGATTACATTTCCCCAAAACACTATTATTTTCCCTGCTCTAATTCTCTCTGCCTCACCTATTTATTGAACAGTCTATTTTTTCCCTAAAGGTTTGTATTGCTGCCTCTAACACATATAAACTCCTTTTGTAAGCCAATTAAAATGGCAACAGAGTGAGCATTATCTAGAAATATTTTTAAATTATGTTTTCAAGGTTAAGATCTAGTGACTACATCTCTGGTGCTAAATATGGACTATTTATGAAGAGGGGATAGAACACAGAAGAGGGTTGAGTGGCCCAACAGAGAGCTGGGAGCACTTAACTATTGAGCTTCATGTCAAAGACAAGCAGAAATGGAGTATAAAAGTTTCAAGAAAGTTAATCCAAGATTGGGGACTTCAGGGAACAGTTCCCTGAAGAGTTCTGGGGACTGTTCCTCACCTACTGAGCCCAGAATTTCCCTAGAGGTCTTGCAGAAGATTTATTTTACCAATCTCCATTCTCTCCCCATCCCTTCTCTTTCTCTCTCTACCTCGTTGTCTATTTCCTACTCTCAGTGATTTAACCAGTGATGAGGAGAGGAAGCACATTACCCTCAAGTCTGTGTTCATTTTGTCTTTTTGTGCTTTTGTTCTTAACTAGCTTCAGAGTAAAAATACCAGATGAAAAAGAACCCAATTTGGAGATTGGAGCATTTTTTTTCTCCTCAAGTAATTTTATCCAGGAATTTCCCTTAAGAGGAGAACATTCCCGGCACAGAAACACTATTTTCTAAATCTTCATTATTCATTACTTTAAAGTAATGGATTTAAGGCCAAATTCACAGGCCTGAAATGATCCTAAATCTGTATTCAATCCTAATGTGAATTGTTTTTCCACACAGCACTTCAGTGGATTATAATAGATCCATACCAGGTAATAGACATTGATCTATTCAAACCCCATAAGCATTAATATCTGAGAGACGAATAGGAAAAAATGTTAATTTTCTTCATTTTACTAGAAGTTAAGTATCCTGGGAGCGGGAAGGTTGGTAACAAATCTGTGCAGGTCAATTAATTTTTTAAATTTATTTACAAGGCTGAGTAAATTCATATTAAGAATTTCATTCAAGGAGTTAAAAAGGCTTCATATTTAATGTTTGATAACAAGTATTTTTATTCCAGTTCATAAAATGAGCAAGTTCAGGCAAAGACCATAGTTATATCACTTGTTTAATTTCCTAGCACTGGTCTGTTGAAACCTGAAATGAAATCACCATCTCAATCCTAATTTTGTATGCTCTTTGCAAGCATATTTTTAAGATGAGAGGCAAAATGTCATAATAAATGATCATGTAAGTGAAATATAAAGAAATCCAATCAATATGTGCATTAGTTAAATAGCAATGTCAAGACCCATTGACAAGTTTCTAAAACTATTTAAAAATCTGTTTAATAATTCAAGCGTTTTATTTCTTCCACACTCTGCTTTCCCCTACATACGTAAACATTCAGTCTACATGCATAGGAAATTTAAGTCGATTATTTATTCAAACAGCAAGAAAAGTATAACATTCAAAATAAAAATACTGCATTCTACGTATTATAGTAAAATTAAATCACCTTCTTGTCATTTCAATATTATTCTTGTAACTTCAATTATGTAGAAAAAATTTATCTCACTAGTTTTCCTGTTTTTTTCAGTATAGTAATGTTCCAATTGGGATAATGATGCCTATGATATTAAAAAATGATTTCTCACTATTGGCATTGTGATGGTTAATTTTATATGACATCTTAGCTAGGACATGTGGTGCCCAGGTATTTTGTCAAATTTTATTCTGGGTGTATCCGCGAGGGTATTTTTAAATGAAATTGACATTTGAATTGGTAGACTGAGTAAAGCAGATTGTCCTCCCTAATGCAGGTGGCCCTCATCCAATCAGCTGAAGGCCCAGACAGAACGAAAGTCTGGCTCACCTACAATAAGGGTGTGGGGGGTGCTTCTCCTGCCTAACTGCTTTGAGCTGGAATATTAGTCTTTTCCTTTATTTGGACATGAATTGATACATTTGCTTTATGGGAGTCTTGAGCCTGCTGGTTTTTGGACTGGAATTTACATCATCCGCTCTCCAGGTGCTCAGACCTCAGACTCAGACTAGCGCTACATTGTTGTTACTCCTCATTCTCCACCTTGCCGACTGCAGATCTTGAGGCTTGTCAGCCTCTATAAACGTGTGATCCAAATTCTTAGAATAAATCTCTTTATGTGTATCTTACAATTGTA